AATTCTAATTGTAGTGAATGTCAAGAATAATTCAACTTTGGAATGCTATTAGAGTTCTATATCAAGTTGAAATTTTATTTTGGATGCCCATTGGGAGTTGGAAATTAATATTAGACTAGAAGAAGAGTTCGAAATTGAGAAAAACACTTTGGAAACATGTTTTGAAATATTAACTCGAAACCTAGCGCCTGAGCGCTGCTACGGTAGTGCCTGAGTGCTACAGTAACCTGATCGTGATTTTTCTCTCCTACTTCATTTTGGACTCGATCTTTTAGCATCCTACTTCATAAACAACTCTACCAAAAGGGTTTGAACGTCCCCTACATGATCCATATAAATATTAGGCTCTTCTATACAATTCTTGTAATAATTATATGCCAGAAAATAAATTACTAGAATTATAGGATCTATTGTAATTTTCTTTCTTCTTTATCATTCTTGAATCAATAAAATCTCTTAATTTTTCTGCCATATTCTCGTCTTCTTTATTCTTTTACTTGATCAAATACTTCATTAAAATTTTCCATATAACTTCAATATCTCAATTCGGTGATTGGCGTCACAACATGTGGTATCAATCCTAATGGGATCCTTACACCAGGAATCTGCTCAGCAAAAAGTTTCAAGCACAAAATCAGAAATTTGTACAATTTAATCAAGAGTCGGACACCATTTCGACATTTATTAAACCCACACTCGCTAGGATTATGATTCTGGAAGGGCACCGTAGGAGAGTTGACACCTAAAGAGTAAATAAAACCAAAACCAAATCTTCAATAACTAAAATGAAGAATAGAATCATGCATATTTGTCAAATGTCAATTGAAATGGACCCAACCTCTTGACTTTTTCTTGGATTTGGTCCACTAACCCTTTTTAACCAATTTCCATTTATAATAGAGACATACTCTCACCCATCTCTCTTACACTCATTTTATTCCGTTACTTAACCGTTGGAGTGCTAATAGTCGTTGAACTTTTCTTCAAGTAAATGACATTTGCACCATAACAGTGTGTTTCATCATA